GAAGTCGCATTCATGTAGCACGGAAATTGTGATGCTGGCGTTACAATGAAGTCACGCGCACGAGAAGACCGCTAAGATTTCAATTTGATGTGTACATGGTGTTCGGTGCAATGAAGATGCCCGGTCAACTTGTAAGAGAAATCTTGCGTTGCTGCAGTCTTGATTCCGTAGAGCGTTCCTGACTCGAGGGTGAGTAAGTCGATACCGCTTTTACTACTAGTTAGTCGAATAACCTCATCTTTGATAAGGTGAATTAACACTCTGCCTTGTTCTTCCAGGAAGTTAGTGACCACTTAGGCTTTAGCTAACATTCAAGAGTTTGTAGGAACCTGCGAGCTTCTTTTCGAATAACTCTCTGCCTACAGAAATACAAAACGTTAGAATTAAAAACTACATGCAAGTTCCGCCACCAATTGGAATAGCTTTTATAGCCCTCTAGCATGAAGCTCTGCAACGATCGCAAACAAGGTATGGTAGTACGACAAGATGAGCAAGCTAGATAACGTAATTGCACGCTCGATCCCGGCGTTTCGGTCGCCGGTACGACGCGATCGCTCGCGACGCAGTCGCTTTCTCATTAGGACTTCAGGAACCAGCCTGCGAGCACAAATCAGAAGTGGAGAGATACTAGTTCTTATACGCTAGTCGACCAGAACGTAAACAAATTGAGTCGAAGGAGCCCTATAGGCCGTAGGACGACTAGGAGAACGAAACGAGGGAGAAAAATGAGAGAAAAATGAGTTAAAGCACGAGCAGGATGACAAAGATAGGAGACCAGGTTGTTACAGTGAAAAAACTTTTAATCGGCCGATTTGTGGCTAAATCGCCTTTGTCAGAACCTATAAGCAAATCGATACCTTTTAGGTAAATTCATCATGCTCAACGATGTAACTCTCCTTGGCCAGTTGCATCCTCTCTGATGAACGCCAAGCAGATGCCAAGGTTTTACGAATGACGGACATGGAGAATATTACAGAATGTGCGAGAGCTACTCTATCTCGCTCGAGAAGCAATATCGCTACGGCAGAAGGTGGTTGTCACCCGACAATCACTCCAGTTTCTCAAGCGGTGCAAAGCAAGTGACATCTCCCCAAGATTCGTTATGAACAAGGAACTCGGATCAGTGTGTGGTCTCTTGAAACGCATCCAAGAGTAGAGAAGAGGCATATGTAAGTGAATATCGATCGTTATTCAGTATCATTATCAGGCAGAGGTCTATTTTATTCGATGCTGCTTAAATGCGCCACCAAGGAAGAGTCTTGCAGAAGGTTACTACCGCAAGAAACGTGGAGAACGATTGATGGTGATTTCAGAAGATATGCGAGCCTATCCGTTTGAACGCGAAAACTTCTTTTTATGCAAAGTACAGCTCTTTGAGCGACGAATAGTGGGAGAATGCTTTTCGCAACAAGGTCGTTCCACAACTCCCACGGAGGCCGGACCGCAAAACCCTCGACAACTGAACTTTGAGTGTGAGGCGGCAAAAGTCACAGTAGTTGGTAACGCACAAATTTTCTCGGAAGCTATGGATTTCCTTCATTTGGGGTCATCATTTTCACTAACGCAAACGATCAACCCGATGACATGCGTAAAGTTCTGTGCGGTTTGCAAAAGCTAAGAGACCAACTCAGAACGAAAGCGCGACGCGACCAGCTGCCACAAACAGTTGAAAGTTTAAGCGAACAACTCTAGCTCCCTTCCTTTTCCTCGGTCGTTGAATCCTCCCCGAAATTGATATAAAACGTCGTATTCTGTCGTCAGGAGTGCTTGAAGTGCTCAGTAGATTCAGACATGACAAGCACACCAATCTGACACGAGAACAATGGGAAGGATTCAAAGAAGTTCGATAAGGATTGACGCAGGAATGAATTTCGCCTTCCAGTCAGCGATAAGGGTGAATTTGTGGTTTTGCCTCAGTCGCTGAACAGAGAAATCACAGAGCTCCACCTTGCAGACAATACTGTTTATCGACAGTCGGCTGAAACAGATTCCCACGTACGCATTATCGGCTATACACGG